ACATTGTGCTCAATAACAATAACAATAATTTTTTTTTTTTATTTTACATAAAATTTGTCTTGTTTTAGTTTTCTTCTTTTTCATTACTTTAAGGGCTAAATTTATAGATCGAATCAAATTAATTAACATTTTATTTGATAATATTTCACAAAAATAGCGAATGTTATATATTTAATATTTTTTCTTCAACTTTAAAATTCATTTAAAGTCGGCATTAGTTCATTATTATACTTCTTGTCCATATATGCATGAGAGCTTCAATTGCAGTATGCCAATAAGGCGTGATAATGTGTTGAAAGAACTTTATTCTGATGGCAATAAGAAATTATTTCTGAATGTACATAAATTGAAAATATGTGCAACAATTTAACATTTGATGTTATAATTAATTTTTGTTAAATTTTGCTTTCAAAGACCAATACGCAAAGGCAATGTCTTTATTACAAATCAGATTTACATTCTAGCATATTAATGTGGATCTTCCTTAAAACTGACACGATGTTGAAAACATTCATAATAGAATATACACTTAAAATGCATTTGAATGCACCAAAATCTAAAGTTACAATTATGAATGTAAAATAGGATTAACTTTCTATACAAGTTAATTTCTAGTTTTTTTTTTTTTGTAACGCTAATAAAATAATCTCACACGGAGAACTTCAGGTTTATTTTTCTAGGATTTTGATGAATCTTTGCATGGCAATAGAGTTGATAGTCAAACCAAGTATCTTATAATATTATAGGCCAATGAAAAGCGGTTTATTTATAAAATTTTGAAAAATCAGCAGCATCAAAATCCCAGAAGTAAACTTGGGGTTCTCCTTGTTCAATTTTTAAACCAACTATATTGTGACGAGTAAAAAAGGGTTGAAGCCTATATTCTACTCGATAGTCTAAAAAATATGATTTTAGTATTTTGACAGTTTTTACTACCAATTCTTATGAAGGCTCGAGTATAACAACGCCATCTAAATCTGTTATTTCGTACCAGTCTTTCATCTTCGATTATTCTATCCATGTATTATAATAATTTTTATAATTTACAACATACATTTGTAATATAATATGTACCATTTAAATGTAGATTATACTGTACTTTAATACAAATTCCAATGTCAGTCACAGCAAAATTGACTAAAATATGTTCTTCCATAATCCGCTCGGAAACGGAACAAACGAACTAATCTGTCCTATGACAGTTCCACTGATTGCAATCATCTGCCGGTATAAATTCTTGATGCACATGGTTTACATATGTAGTTTTGTTATTATTAATTTACTTTTTGTCGACGTCAGCTTTTGATTTTAATCCTTGTATCATGTTTTGAAATTCTACACGATTGTAATTTACCTCTTCGATGCTAAGCTTTGTAGTAAATACCTTTGAAACAAGGTTTTATTAGACGTCGGTTTGGTTTAATGGTGAAATTGTAAAATGTTAATGTAAAACCATACCTACGCGATTATAAAAGAACATATCTAAAAGATATATTTTCATTTCGAAAAATTATATCAAATAATAAAATATTGTTATAAGGAACTATGCCTTCTTCCAAAAAAAACCTTTCAGGAAAAGATTAAAGAAAAAACAACCAATTGATTTTCTAAGTATTAAAGCTTTCATTGGAGAGTTTCCTAGACAAGCCATATTCACCAACACAAATATTTTGAGTTCAAGTTGATCCCAATAGCTTATAGAATACTTACATTCTGATTGCTATTTGTTTGTTAATTTTATTATCTTTATAAATTTTGAATTTCTTTGAATAGTTATTGTGTTTGAAGAATTACTATAAAGAATAATGTTCTAACTGTCTCATTGACTGAACTTTTGTAAGTTTCATAATTTTTTTGATTTTGTCCATTTTCGTTGTCAAGTTACTCTTTTAATATTTCATGTTGATTACAATTTTTATCTATTCAGAAGAGTTAAAATTAATTATATCGTCATAGTTCGAGCAGAGTTCAGTTTTATTAGAGAATCGTTTCATCTCATTTAATATGCAGAAATCAATCATGAACGTTCATTAAATATTACTTTTTTGCACAGCGATATTAATTTCCAGTTCATCATATATTTTGATGAAACATTTTTTACTGATTGCTATATCTACTAAAAAAAGTGTGAATCGTCTTATTGATCCAAAGGTTTTTTATACATTTTTCTTAAATTTTTTAATGTAATAGAAGTTCTAGTATATATATTTAAGTTTTAATAGTACTAATAAAATTATTAATAAAAAAATTATATAATAATAGTACTAATATCATAATAAGTAAATGGTGATATCAGTACTATATTAATCATACTTCTATTAATTTATAACTTTGTTATTGAAAATCTTATAGCTACTGTATTTTCAACTTTCCATTGGGTAATTTATAGTATTGAGTCAAAAATCGAAAATATTTTTTTTACATATCTTCACGTTTTAGAGGTTTCTGATCGTCTTGGCATACTACAAAAAAATGTTTGTGTGTGAGTGTGGATACAATTTTTTGTCGACGTTTTCAAAAGTAACGATCGACTGATTTGAATAATTGAAAAAGCAATCGATTCCTACTGATGAGGATTAGTGCTGATTAGTTTTTGGCAAAGGCAGGTCCAGCAGTTTCGAAAATTCGAAATTGAATATGCAATAAATGCCAGTTTTAATTTTTTTCTATTTTTAAGCTCTTATATTCTGTTCTAATAAGAATGATGAAAATTACAGTATTCATTATAATTTATATAAAAAATTTTAATATTCTTCATAATCGAATATGTCATTACGATACGGGAAGTTCCAGCAATTTGCCTAAAAACACAATTCCATGCACCACTAGTTTTTCTAAAAATTTCTAATGTTGTCGTAGTTCTAGTATATTCTGATACATATTTAAGTTCATAATACAATAGCAATGATATTAGTATTAGAACTTAATTTCTATACATTCATTACTTTTTACTGAAGATGAACACAAATACAGCTGCTGTATTTTTGTAACAATAAATATGAGTAATTATAAAGTACAAGTAAGAATTTACTATATACTACTTACTTACAAATATTTCGAACTCCTACTTTTCATAGTTCCATTATCCTCTTACCTTTATAATATTGCTAAAATCGATCCGCCCCAAATATTTGCAATAAACTTTAAAATTACTTTACGCTTGTAAAACAACACTTTGAACTAAAATATAGTCTACATAGTAATTAGGGATGTTCGTCCAAAATTTCAAGCAAATTAATATTGAACTATGCGCCTTTCGCTTTGATGAAAGAGTTTCCGTGGATATAGGAAATACAAAGCTGATCAAAGCTGATTGGAAATAGCTCAGGATGATTAAAATATTTTGCATCGTGTCCAGAACACTACGTGCACCACCGATAGCTTTAAACTGATACCAGGAATGAAATTTTATTATATTAGTAAACAAATATTTTACTACAAAAATTGCTTTAAACTGGAAATTGTTAGTCAATTTTTTTGCATTTTGAGCAAACCTTTTCATTTAGATGTTACCTTTAATTTCTTAGAAACTTAGAGATTATTGATACTGATTGATTGAACTTAGATATATTGATTTGGTATGAAATTAAGGAAATCATTGAGGAAGTATTAAGGTATGTTAGTTATGAATAGTTGGCGCTGTTGTATTAATGTTGGTATGAGTGATAGTATGAATCTATATAAGTGTACTATACCTAGTACTTCAAATCGACCATGAAACATGAAACCTACTTCATTTTTCTTTTATATACTTAAATAAATTAGATTTGTGAAGCTTTTCAATGAGTTTTCGAATTCAAATGTATCAATATTACTTGTATGATGATTCATTAGTATAATTTTCCTCCGAGTAAAGGCGTAAGTAGTAGTAGATTAAATACAAATAGAAATCAACCTCGAGTTTGCATTACCATTGCTGTAATAAAATATATACCTCTGTCTGAAAAAATTTTGTTATCATCAAAATATAGACAAATGTATCTAATTTCGATTTAAATATTTCCTTCCGTATAATTTAAATGTTTTCTCGTGTAGGATGCTCTCGATGTGCAAATGTCGTGCGACGAGTAAATTTGTTACTCCACGCACAATCGAAAAAAATGACTTTGACATGTAAATGGCTTTTATATTATTTGTTTTGGCGTATAATTTACATATTATACCTTCGTGGGACATTAAAACGGATAATATTAACATTTTATTACTTTGTTGATCTACTTTAGTATAAATCAAGCCAGGAACGAGATCAAAAATTAGTATCAGAAATATTTTGATTCATATTTACACTTATTACAAAAAACACTGTTTTCTCACAATATTTTTTTTATAATTAAATTATGTTTATTCTATAGTATTTCAATACCATAATCTCTAATATGGATTATCTCTCAGTAATATAAACCAGTATATAAAGCAATGAGTTTATACATGTGTCCATTTGCTTCCAAATCAAATTCGTTTGGAAAATAAATCTTTTGCTAGTATTCTATAGAAAGAGCTTGCGTCGGTGTTTTTTCTCATGTAATAAAACACATGTACGGCTATCTTACTAAATCCTCTTTATTTTATCGTCCTTTTACTGTTTCTTGCTTATTTTATCAATCCCGTACAAATCAAATAACCTGAATTCGCTACGCTAAACTGGATCTATCTTGTATATAAATATATTTATGTATTATTGAGACAAAAAATGTAATCATTATGAAACATTAAAGTCTAACCACAATAATAAAAAATAATTAATAAATGTAAATATAATTTTAATAAGTTAATAATACATTCAATGCTTATCACGAATACTGATATTTTAGATTTCAAATAGCTTCAAAAATTAAAGTAGTAAAATTTATAGTAAAATTTAAAGTAGTAATTACAAGTATATAAAATAAATGCAATAACAATATGAATAATGCGTTAGATGTAAGTTATTCGATCACATATAGATACACTGCAATATGGAAAAATTGAAGAAAAACCTAAAACAAAATTAAGGTAACTTTTCAGTCGTTATATAAATCATTGTCGTCCTCTTCTGCTTCTTTCATAATTTTTTTAGATTCTTCTACGCACTTTCTCAACTCAAGTATTGATTCTTTGATAAATGTAAAATGACCTTCTTGATCGAATTCTCCTAATGTAATCTAAGGAAAAAAAAATGCTATAGTGACAGCTATATTAAATGGTTTTAATAAACATTCGCAGTATGTTCAATATTAAAATAAAATATATTTCCATATCAACATTGGAATTGCTTTAGATTTGAAACGTTTTCTAGAGTCATCATAATTTTATTAACACTTCAATTTGTTTTTTTTTAAATTTATCAGAATATTATATATATTAAAAGTTGTTTTTATTTATATAGAGTAATTGCTATTTACATAGTTTTGGCAACTCATCAATAAATATAAGAGCAATATAAGAAAGACTTTAATAGTTTTAATTTTTTCAGGTATTATGAATAGATGACCTAACTAGGTGCAAGTGGCCTTCTGAATGAAGGTAAGTTACATGAACTGCAAAATGCATGTAAATAATTTTTTATGCAAAAAGAAGTGATATTTACCTATGTAATCATAACAAACTAATTGTGGCTATAAGTTATCATTTATAATTACCGGCAACTGTCGTCTAACAGCAAGTTGTTGATATAGATCCCAAGAGCTGAATCTGACACAAAATATTTCAGCAAGTTTATCATAAGCCATGTTTGAAATTTTTACAATAGCTGATTCCCAATGATTTTTAAAACGAGTCACTTCTCCATGTCTCTCGTCCTTCATACGCAATTCGTATTTCATCTGGCCGATCAAGGCGTTTTTTTCGGCTTGAATGCGAGAGACGCTTTCCACGGTCTTATTTAATGCTAACATGTTCTGAAAAATACAGAAATAGAATTATAAATGATATGGAAAAATTTTAGGCGTGTATGTCCATCTCTTGTTCCTTAAAATATTTTAATTTGAATGAAAACAAGTGATGATTTCGAAACGTTTGTGACTTTTAAAAGGGTTGGACACAAAAGACCAATTTGACTTACAGTTGACAGTGTATTGCAATTGGGTAAAATATTTTATGGTATCGTATTTTCAGAGCTCAAAACTGAATCATTCTTGTAAACATTTTCCAAGTGTATCTTTTATTATCAGAAACCTAGTTAGCAAAAATCTCTTACCTCGTTTAGCCTCTCGGAGATGACTTGTCTAGCGCTCATCAATGCTTCATATCTCTTAACGACACTATAGATGCTCGTTAGGTATGGAGATTCCTCAGCACATTTATCCAGAAATGTTTCGTACATTTTATACTTACTTATCATATTAACTAAACTATTTTTAATGTTCATGTATGCTGAGTACTAGATAGAGAAAAATATATTTATTAGCCATCAGCCAGAATTTACTGAATTATGTTACCTATATTGGGAGAACTGGATAGAAGGATAAAAACTACTGACTAATAATTAGCCTTAATTATAAAGTTAAATGACAGTCTTTTATGCACGATTAATGTATATTATAGACATATGTAAACAAGTATCCTGATTATAGATCGGAATCATTTATTACATTTTAAAATTAATCGTTATGATCTAAGTTTATTCTAACCTTAGATGTGATGGGAGTAAAGTATGCAAAGCTATTTATAGCTATTGTTTTATCAAATCAGATTAATTTTATAGAAATTTTTATTATTTGTTTTATTATGGTTACCTGTTCACTCAGCTCATTGATTTCACTTTTTAATTGATTGTTTATTACTCTTGATTCTGCAATCTTTCTCTCAGCTCGTTGGCGTTTGTCAGCATTTTCTCTAATGAATCGATTAAATTTTATGAAGTTCCTTCCTAAATCTTTTTCTTGCGCTACTAATTTATCCTGCAAAATGCAGAAATACCTAATTATTACACGAAATTTCTGTTAAAAAATTTTTAGTTACTTGCAAACCATTTAGTGTAAATTTGTAATACAATGAATTTAAAGTTGAAGGACCGATTCTGCCGCAAACCAGAAAAATGTTATAGCAAAGCAATGTTATGAAGAACTTTTCATACAAAATATTGACAAAAGCCATGTCGTTGGTGTGCAGTCAGGCATATTTCTTTGGTTGTCAGATAGAAAACCTAACTGAAAAACCGCACAAATGTCAAACAATCTTAGATAACAGGGTCTTTCTGACTCAGCTTCATAACATACGAGTGACATTGCAGTTTATGTGTAGATTGCCTGAATGGACAGCAAATACATGATATTTTGACAGTATTCAGTATGATTCAGTAGCATAATTTATGCGTAGGAAGTTGGAACGTAACATGGCCTTGCCATAATATTTTTCAGTTATGCGGCTGAATCGGTCCCTCAATGTGCATCTTGTTTGATTTTAAGGGCATCTTCTCGTTGTAAGGGTGCTTTAACTTAAAAAAAAAACAAAAAATAAAAAATGAAATTTGTCTTTTTATTGTTGTTAATTTAAAAATAAATGTCAGTTTCTAAAAGAAATATTTCAAAAATATAGAAAGCATTTTAATGAACACTTATGCAATTGTAGTGTATATAATATATTTATTATATTAGGTTGGAAATTAAGTAAATACAGTTCATTGCTTAAATGCTCATGTAAACGGGCAGTTCAGATGTCCATCAGAAAAAAGTTTTTTTGATCCGTTCATTAAAATATGGAAAATCAAATCGGAATTTTTTACCACACTTTGCTTTTTTTTCAAAGGTAAAGAGGCATCTTAAATTCACAAAAATTTATGAGGTGTTCATTGTGACAAAGCCCCAAAAAAACGGCATTGTCCAAATTGGTTCGCAAAAGTTTATTCTGGTAATTTTTTACTCAAAAATAAAACACTGACTCTGGTCGTTCAAAGGAATTGCGTACTTTGAGCTTTTAAAACCAACGGAATTATCAATTCTGGTGTCTACATTAAACAATTGATAAAATTAAACAATGTAATTGATATCACACAACTTTCGTCATTTGGCATAAATTATGGGAGTCCATCTTCTGATTACTTCTTGTTTAGATCTTCGCAAAATTCCTTGTTGGTAAATAATTCAATAATTATGATGGTGTTGCTAATAAAAATCAGAAGTTTTATGAAAGTGAGAAATGATTAATATACAATATATTACAGATTTTTAATACAAATTTATTTTGTATTAAACATCTGCATTTACTTAGTTGCCAACCTGATATATAAAATATAGTTTCTCCACATAGATTTGCTTTATACCGCATTTTATGCAATCGCTTGTTCTACATAATCCTAAAAAACATTGATATTGTCTATCTATATCTATTTCCCTTACTATTTGGACTTGGAGGACAGCTCGCGCTTTGACGCCAGCTTTTCGCACATCCTGCAAGTTCTTTTTGGCCTGATACAGTTCCCTCCGCGTGATTGCCGCTCGGAGCGCCGGTTCCGTCCGGCCTTCGTCCCACCGAGGAAATCGACGGGGTAAACGATTGATCTGCTGCGCCTCTATGTAATCACCCACGTCTTTGTGAGGCAAACTCTCTAATGGCATTCTATAAATTTAACAAAATAATTGAATTAATTGATTTAAATATTGATTTATATCATGTTATGTTAATTGAGCACCTTTTTAATGAAACACATTTTATGCTTTTCTGCTCCAAGATGTCTTTACCCATTTTGAGTTATGGGTGAATTATAATCGTACACCTCTATAAATGAGTTAGTTACAACAGCGAAACTGAAATTGATTATAAAAGTACATATAAAAATATATTAGTATCAAAAATGTGAGGTATTATTGTAAAAACAAATGATAATTTGATTAGATTCTATTAAAGTCACTTTGAGTGTTCAGTCATTATAAAAATATTAATACTCTTCAACAAATATTTTTTTTAAAACGATCTTAGAGTTTTACATATACTTTGTGTTCATAAACTTTTTCAATCTGATATCCACCTGGCATTACAATAAAATGGGTTATTTTATACTACCAAATAGTGCATTTTGGGTTAGGTTTTCCCATTAGGTCAGGTTTCCTCATTGCTATCCTGTACGAAAAATAATAATTATATATATATATATATATATATATATATATATATATATATATATTTCATTAGACCAGGGTTGGACTTTAAGCTTTAACACGAAGGTTATATTTAGGTTAAATCAAGAAAATATAATACTACATAAATAAATACTAAACACTAAATATAGAACTACATAAATAAATACTAAATTATAGAAATATCAGATTAGACTAAAAATACTAATGTAGAGCAAGAATCTTTTTAGACATTAATGATCGATAAAAAATAAGTGATACTATGAATTATTGATATTTTATCGTTAGTATTTTTCTCATAAGCACATAGAATATATTTTTAAATAAGATCATGTAAAATATTTTTAGTGTAAGTTAAATAAATGTAACTTGAAATATGATGATACGAGTATTGAAAAAATACGATCACAAAATAAAGTGAAATAATAATGCACCGTAGACAAAAAAATTTGTAAACATATTTAAAATACTTGTTCGTTATTGACATCCTACTTATTTTCATAAAATGTATATGTTACTTATCCGTCATGAAATAGTACAGATGTGAAATATGTCAAACGCATAAAAATTCTTTTATATCTCGTTATTTTATGTCAACCTTTTCAAATGCACGCACTAAACTACGCATATAGAACGCTTGGATAATTAATTCTCTGCTGCGGCTTCAATATCCATTGTAAATAATTATAAAACAGTGAACCAATAAATAATGGAGAAATATATTTGTTTTTGTATCAAACTCATTTATTAAATTCCTGTATCGTTTTGAAATACGCAAACAATTAAATGAGCGACATATATCACCGACGCGGAAGTTGAATGAGAGCTATTCTTTTAATTAGAGAAAAATATGTTCAGCTATTCTTGTGAATTTGTCATGGCTTCAATACTTTGCTTAATATTTTTTCATATGTAAATTTAGAATTTTTATATAATCATCTAATAAAAAGCAATCATACTATATAGCAGTAAGCATTATTTTGGGTCGTATACCTAGAAAGTCATAAAATTGTCTGTGAGACGAGAAAGCGGCCGTTTCTTTCGAAGCAAATTTGCATTAGTAAAAAAACTTAAGCTCATGTCTACGTGTTAACAGATTTAGTACTTGTTTAGGAAAGTCGGATTTGACCAAATCTCCGAAATTACTCCGCTCGGATTCACTCCGCGGGACGAGTTGTATCTTCTGAGTTATATAACTCTAATACGTACATAGTACATATATAATATATATTTGTAAGATAGCGATCATAACGGTTCATGTGCTTAAACCAAGTATCTAGTGTTTCCACCATCTCGAGTTGAGTTTTTGTCCCGTCCCAGTTAAGTTGATAGATACGTCTCTAATCTGGTACTTTGTAGCGAGAGCACCTTCACCTTCAGCCGTGTTTCTTAACGCACACTACACGCGTAACCTAACTCCACAATATCGTAGTATTAATCGCATTTCTCATTCTCTTCGTCATTCATTTACGCGGGATTTGGCACGTGATATATCTCACGGATCATACCTCATACCTCATACCTCATACCTCACTGCCTCATATCAGAATCTATGTAACTTCGGACGGGAACTACTCATCTGGAGCTACCAGTAACTATATGGTAGCAGATAGTTGTTCCGGTTGTGTAAACTAGAGGAACATGATACAAATACATGTAAACGCTTATATTTGCTCACCAAAGATGGTTATTAGTTTCATCAATTCAATTGCTACTTTGGTCATCCATCTTCCAAATACAAAACTATAATCTTTATTCAAGAATAAGAGCACAATCACATATGCTAAGTAGGTAAGCAGCAAGATAATGAAGTAGGATTTTCCGAAAATACACTTTTATGTCTCTAATTTCTAAAATAAAAACTTGTTTTTTATCACGATATATTTTGTAATATATCGGACAATGTTACGGATGGGGGTTGTTTAGACCCTTTCAGAATAGCTAATTGAATTTGACTCAATAGCTATTTCGAGGATTTTGTATAACTGAATATATTAAGGAAAAATACTCGTTGTTCTCTGCTTGGTCGGCAGCCCAGTCGGATTTTGGCTTGAAGTCTGGAATTCTCAGATCGCTGTAATGAATGGATACTGAGGTAGGAATTGACTCCAGAAGCACAATAAGGAATACTGGCTGCGATTAATAACGTATTTATTCATACAAATAACATCGAACACTCGGAAAATTCAACAAAACTCATACGGAAAACAAGTGAAATGGCGTACGTGACAAGCGAGACGGCGAGACCCTGTTCACCCGCATGATTAGCCATTATATCCAAAATCTTTAGGGATTGCCAGAGAATAAAGTATTGTCTGATTCTTACAAATGTCATCTGGCGTCATCTAACAAGATTCTGGCGCGAACAATACGATATCATCTTTTTCATTTATATAAGAGTAAAACAATAATATAATCAAATTATTAGGATGAATAAAAGTTTTTGTAATTGAGGCTGATATTACTGTTCTTTTTCTAAATTTCTGAAGTAGAAGTCCATATTTTTGTCAGAAAATACTGTTTGTTTATTTGTTCTTTGGACTTTACGAGTCATTCTAAATCCTTTGTCAACAAATTTTGCAAATGTATGTGTATTTGTAAGTCAAAATTTGACTTTTTATCGACGTTCTCCCTCGACATAAAAAATATAAAAAATCGAAAAAATCTAATAACAAAAAGTTTTGTCAATGATTTAACCATAAATCCTGAACTGCATCGACATCAATTTTTTTAAAAAAATCAGATAAGATCAAAATTTTTCATCAATGTTTTAACCGAATCATTTTCACACTAGGCTATGTCTCTAATTTAATTCTAAAGATTTTTATTAAATTTATATTTTATTCATAATTTAATCGTCAAAAACATGGAGGAACGTCTTCTTTCATCAAATTTGTATTTAAAATGAACTTATGAATAAATTTCTAACGATGGTAAAAATTATCACCAAAAAATTACAACTATAATTTTTAACTAAGATATGTTTTCCAATATTTTATTTATGTTATTTAGGTGATACTGCAATATCATAAGCTTTATGATAGGTGATGCTCTCTTTTAATAGCTAAAACCTAGTAACTACTATTTTAATAAACAAAAATTGAGTACTATTGGATTTGTACATTACATACAAAGTTATATAATACTAGTAACAAACTTCTAATCCAATACCATTTGGTATTGAGATTTAATTAAAATACAAAGTAGTAGTGCAGAATTACTAGACACAACTTAGTTTCACGATCCCATCTAGAGCTTGTATTGACTATGTGCTCATCTTGCAAAATGTCTAATATTCTACATGAAATTGCGCAATATCGTGTTAAAGGCATTTATTAGGTTCATTTTGTTATCATTATGTAAAATACTATGTGCACCGAAGAAATGAAATCATTAAAGCATTTTTTACGCGTGTTTATTTAGTTAAACATGGACAGGAATGGTGTTATAAAACTATATTGATATCATTTCTGTGATAGCTGTTGATGATCTTTAATAATGTCTTTGGTTTCATATAATAAATTTTTCATAAATTGATGATTGTTTCCCTTGGTAGTAAACTTACAAATATACCAGTATATATACTCTTTTGGTAATATTTTCGATAAATATTCCAATGATAGCGTAATTCACTGTCAGGAATAAGAGATATGCGTAGTCATGTTGGCGGTCGTATGAAGAATGGTCCTAATTTAATTGATTGGAGCTCTTGAAAATAAATGACAGTCATCTTATCCTTATGGCATCTTATAATTCACTGCGCAAAAGTGAATGTGTATCAAGGAAATTGACGACGTTGTTACAACCAAGAAGAAGAAACATTGTTTATAGAGAAATTTTTAATCAGAAATAAAATCCACCACTTTAACATGTTATAAAAAACTATTTGCTATCTATATTCACAAATTACTTTTGTGCCTTTGTCTTCACAGTTATTGTAAGCTTTCTTTGCGTGCAGATCATTTTTCAAATTTTCAATTAATTATTATAATTAAACCACTTTTCTAAGATTTCTAATATATCAAAGGGTTTGTTTTGACTCTCATCTATATCACCATGCAAAGTTTTAGCAAATTTTTTGTAGACAAAGCTTGAGGTTGTCCTTGTTAGTAAGATTTTTTTGGTATAATTCTTATAACTTTGATTCTAAATATTGTTTTGTGTTTTGTATTATGCTAGGCGCATTAAAAATGATATGTGCTGTTTCTCATTTAAGATTATTCCAATAATTGTCACAAAATACTGTTATTTACCTTTGCGTTAATTTTTAATTTATTTAGATTTTTCGAGAAAATTAATTAATTAATTAATTAGGAATTTTCATACCTGTGATTACAAGCAAATTACGTCGATTAATGCAATCAATCTGATAGTCAAAATGTTTTTGAAAAAATAATTTAAATTTTGCCAACAGCCAACAGCCAACAGCCAACAAAAAATATTTCTCTGTCTATTTTTTTTTTTTTTTTTTTTATCAAGTGGGTTTAAATAATTTTATTTGATTCTGCAAGTTTACAAACTATTTAAGAACTTTAATATAAATTTCAGTGGTTTTCTATAAAAAATAAATAAAAAATTGATTATTATTATAAATAAATTATTTTCAAA